CTGTGTGCTTATTAATACCTGAATGGCTTGTCACCTGTTTCCAAGGCTACCCTCTCATTTCATCTTTATATTCATGTAACGTGATTTTTAAGTGTTCCCTTTCTGTTGTGGAAGGGGATTGAGACAGGGTTTCTCTGTGTAGACCAGGCTGGCCTTGAACTCACAGAGATCTGCCTGCCTCTGCCTCCTGAGGGCTGGGATTAAAGGTGTGCGCCACCGCCACTCCGCAGTTAACGTGGGATTACTAAAATGTTAACAGCTGAGAAAAACAGCTGACTGAACTCTACTTCAGCCTTCTGAATCCTTCATTTCTTGGTAAGTGATCAGTACTTTGATACTGCTGTAGAAATAACAGGAAATGATCTGGATCTCCTGCTACAGATGAGTGCTAGGGTAAGAAAAAGAAAGAACTAGTCTTGGGATAAAGTCTACAAAACAGTCTTTAGAATTAGTTCAAAGACCACAGGGAGAAATCATCAACTTGCTCTCAACACTGGCAAAGTGAATGCACAGGAGGACGTTTTATGGTAACTATGACCCACCTCAGTGGAAAACTCAGGCTATAATCACGGTAATTTAAACTAAGATGGTAAATGCTGCAGCTTGAATGAGAATCACATTAAATAGCTTTTGTGTAAATAAAAATTTCCTCAGAAAGCTTCACAAGTTTGAACACTTAAAAATAGTAAGCTGGTTCTCCTCAGCAGAGAAGAAAAATAGTAATGATGAAGTTGCCATGGACTACAGCGAGGGCGTGAGCAAATAAAGCTGGACACTGTACTGCTCAACAGCATGGAAATGAAGATCTCCATTTTCAATGGTGAAGGTGTGACAGACTATAAATACTTCTGTTTACAACACGGTTTTCTAGTTAATGAGACTTCAGGTTCTACTTGTGAACAGAGTACATAACTACCACACACAACTCATAAACCAATGTGTGAGCTCCTGTCCTGACTCTCACTACCCTCCTCCCTCAAGGCTATTTGGGCACAAGTGAGTGGATAACAGAAGCAATAACATGGTAGAGCAAGCCCAGACAGCTTGAAGGCTGTGAAACTGCCTTACGCAGGATATACCCCCCACCCCCGCACTGTCTTCAGGGAGTCTCAGCAGAAGTCAGGAAGGCCAGAACAATGTGGATGAAGGAAGATAATCTTGACCTTAAAGACTGACAAAACAAAAATGTCTGCATACAATCAAACCATGTAAATTATATCCCCTAATACTTTAGTGTAATATATTTTGAGATTTTTATTTTTAAAAGATAAATGATAAATCCCAGTGCTCAGGAGGCAGAGGCAGGAGAATCTCCAAGTTTGAGGTCAGCCCGTTCTACAGAGCGAGTTCTAGGACAGCCAGGGGTATACAGAGAAACCCTGTCTAAAAAAAAAAGATAAATAATAAAAATAAACTTAACAAAGTAGAACTCAGAAATAATAAACCAGTTATTCTACTTAAGTTTAAAGTGGTTACAATTTCATAGATGTCAGTAAATAAGACACACACACACACACACACACACACACACACACACACACACACACACACAATTTGTACCCATACAGCTAAAAGAACAGGAGGCATAGGTCTAGAATTACTTTTAAAGATCTGTGTTTTAATTGTTGAATGCTTTAAAGCAAGAATAAGTGTATCAAAATGTCTCTTGATTCAGAAATGTCTACGTTTCAAATTAATTACTCATATAAAAAGTAATAATAGTCTAAATTTAAGAACAAATTTGTAAAGTGAAATATTAGCCAATATCACAGACAGTATTTCTTCCCACATTCTTCCTCCTCTACAATACCTTCCTTGGCCTCAGCTCTATCTCTTTCTTTCTCACGGATCAGGGATCATCCATTTTCCGCTTCTGATTTTGTTGTAGATCCTGATATTGCTCTCAGTAGACTACAAGCAACTAGAGAACAAAATGTGTGCCAGTTTCACTTTGGTTTCCTTATGCCAAATCTAAGCAAACAAAAGCGATATCAGTTGCATCAGCTTCCTTTCAGAGCTTCAGAGCTGTGCATGTGTTCTATGGTAAGTGAAACTTAAAAGTTCTGTATCTTTAAAATTTCCCGTGACATCTCCTCAAACTGATTTCCCAAGTGTCATATACCACAGATTACATGTGAAATGAAAATTTAACCCTCTAACCATAAACTGAAATTGCAAACCCATCTGTGACTCTTCTGTCCTTGTTCTAACTGTTCAATAGCTTTTCTACCTTAGATTTCTACTGTGAGGCCTATACAATAAAAGACATTATTATTTCATCTTTTAGGTGATTCCTAAAGTAAAATGAGCTATTTCCTCACAGCTTTAGTAGCATATGATTCACATACAATAAGCTGCACAAATGTAATGTGATGGGGCTGGGCCTACATGTAAACCTCTGAAGTCCTTGTTACCATCAGGATGAATTCCCGACTCACCGAAGCAGCCCACCCTCCACCCATTCCCTATGCTCTAGAGCCTCAGCTGTACTTTCTATTACCTTAGCTGTATTTTCTGAAATCTTATTATTTTAAAAAGATGGAATCATACGTGTGCACTCTCTTGAACTTTTCTCTCTTCACACAATAACTTTAAAAAGTATCCAAAGTGGTGCATATAGTCTGCTCATTTTTGCTGCCAAATAGTTATCTCATCATATAGATACACTGCAGTTTCTTTACACACCCTCCTAGTGATCCAGAGGTAGGCTGTTTTGAGGCTTTGAAGTACAGATTGAGTGTCCCTAACCCCAACATCCAAAATCTGGAACAATCTGGAAGTCTGAGTCCTGAATGACATCAGTAAACACCTCCACACCTGATGCGTGTGACAGGCACATTACAAATACCACACACAAAAAAAAATACTGTGCAAGGTGTACACAAAACAAATGTTATATTGGAAAATCTGGGTTCCTATCCCTTAAAATGTCTCATGTGTACATGAATTATCATATTTATCAAATATCACATAATATCAAAATTATCCCCTACAGTCTAAACTTCCAAATCATTTCCAGTCCTAAGCATTCTAAAGGATGAAAGAATCTGTATTAGAAATGAAGCTTATCGCTTCTCGGCCTTTTGGCTAAGATCATGTGTAGAAATGAAGCTTCCAAGAGCAGGCTCACCTGTCAGGACACACACTTTCTTCCCGTGAGAAAATATTAGTACATAGGAACAGAATGGCTGGGCACAGTTTTATTTGGTGAATGACAATGAAATCTTTTGCTCATTTTAAATTGCATTTATTTCTTCCTATTAAGTTTTTTTTTTTTTTTTTTTTTTGGTTTTTCGAGACAGGGTTTCTCTGTGTAGCTTTGCACCTTTTCCTGGGACTCGCTTGGTAGCCCAGGCTGGCCTCGAACTCACAGAGATCCGCCTGGCTCTGCCTCCCGAGTGCTGGGATTAAAGGCGTGCGCCACCACTGCCCGGCTATTTCTTCCTATTAAGTTTTAAGGGCTTTAAAAAATATATTCTAGATATAAATCTTTGTTAAATATATAATGTACAGTTTCATGCACATAACTCTGTACATGCCAGGCAAATGTTCTACCACTGAGGTACATCTCCAGCATGAACAGAAAATGTTTAGGTTTTGCTGTTGTTTTTAGACAATGTCTGTTTAGCACAAGTGGGCCTGAAACTCCTAATCCTCATCTCAGCTTTCCAAATAATGAGATTACAAATGTACATTTTTAAAAGTGTAGACTGGGTGATATAACTCAGGTAGAGAGGGTACTTACCATATACAAGACCTCGTGCTTAATCCCAGAACACACACCAAAAAAAAAGGGGGGGGTTTAAAATGAGGTTTAAAATTATTCTTTTATAATCTCTCTCCTTTCCTCTCTCCCCCCGCCCCTTCCCTCCCTTTGATCAGTGTCCCTCTCATTATTTTCCCCTTATTTCATTCCTCATCCCACCAAATGCTTCTTCTGTTCCCTTTCTTTGGTATCATTTTAAGTGATCCATTGCACTTAATTAGGGTTGCCTGCATGAGCATGGTGAGGGCTGAAGGGTTATCTGCAACCTTCCTTAGTCTACAGCTCCTCTGGGAGAGACAGGCCGTATGGGCCGATCTGTGACGGACTCCTGATGGGTGCAGGTAGTCCATGAAAACATCACCCATGTCATGACCAGAGACTGCGTTTTACAGAACTTATTGCCATCTTTCAGCTCTTACCTACTTTCTGCTCCTCTTCCTTGACATTCCCTGAACCTTGGAGGGGTGAGGGGTGATACAGACATCCTATTTAGGGCAATGCATGCAACAGTCACTTATTCTAAGCAGTGACGAGCTACGGATCTCTGCATTGCCCTGTGCCCACTGCTAACAGACCATGCTTCTCTAAACAAGGCTGGGGGGGGGAGGGGGGTTCGACTGCTTTCACAATTAGGCTACAGCAATATAATAATTATCTTTCTGAATTTCAAACCATTGTTATGTTAAAGGAATCCATTATCTCTATAATCCTCAGCTGTCAAATTTCCCATGCCTATTAAGATGGTCGGCCTGATAGTAAATGACACACAGGTAAATGGGATTGGCAGAATGTTTGCTTAGCATGCACGAATCCCTTGTTTCCATCCCCAGTACCATATACAGTTGGACATGGTGTCACATGTCTGTAATCCCAGCAGTTGGGGGGTAGAAGCAGAAGGATCAATTCAAGGGCATCCTCAGCTACATGGCTAATTCGGGGTCAGCCTGGGCTTTATGAGAGTCTATTTTTTTTGCTAAAGGAAAATAGAATATAGGAGGAAATCACAGGCTTTCTTGACATTCCTTTCAGCTACTCTTGATTTAGGAATGCCTTATCAAACAACTATTAGGCTAATGCACATAATCACTCCTTAAGCAATCAGGAAGCAGTGACATTATTACTGCGATAACCTTGTGTACCTCTTAAAGTTGCATTTCTTGCCCTAGAACTAGCCCCTGCTGTTTACATGACTGTTGACATCCTTGCCTACTGTACACTTCCAGTCTCCTCTCTGATTCTCTTCTGTCCATCAGGCCTCCATTATAGTTTCCGTCAAGCCGCTTGACTCTACGCAGCATCCTACACCTACATCTCTACTAAACGTAGCTACACAATTTTACCTACCTTGTACTAGGTCTCTAGCATGCTTTTTACTTCCAAGAGAATAAAACAAACAAAAAATACTCTCCTGTCTAAAGGATGGCACTCAAAGGAAGTGAAACCATATGTTCAGTAGTAACCAAGTGAACAATACTTGCTACCAGAATAAAGAAATGCAAACAGACTATTACTTTTAAACATTCTTGATTTATACTTACATAAACCCAACAACGCATGACCAACCTTTCTAAAACAAAAGTGAATCTAGGGGCAGTCCTGGGACTAATGACTCCAACCCAATCAGATACAGGACACAACATGTTTTGAACCAGTCAACATTCATTGTTTCAGCCATGTTCTACAGAAAAAAAAAATGCTATTTCTTTTTAAATTCTCATGGAACTATTATCTGTGGAAAATGTTACAATGTCAGATACAAACTGAAGTTCCTCATATAAGTATTACATGGACTGAGATAAACTGCAAATTAAATGGCAATTTCTAACATAATATTCTCTAAATCAGACTGGCTTCTACCCTGCAAAAGCCCCCAGTCTCTTTAAGACAGGGTCTCACTGTATAGTCAAGTTAGACTGGAACTCACAAAAATCCTTCCGCTCAGCCTCCAGAGTGCTGGATTATAGGTGTGGGCCAGAAGACCTAAACAGACTGGTTCATAACAGACATCTAGTGCCAGTTTATTCTGGTATTATGTTTAAAAAGGATCACACATATAAAAATTAAATTTCCTCTACAAAAAAATTAATCTTAGGCTATTAAAAATTACAGGTACACTAGAAAAACAGAGTTTTGTTCCCAAATACCCAACAACTATTATATGAAATAATCACCATGCTAGTAAAAAAAATTACACATTTTGAAATTTTCAGTTTAACTAGTTTGTTTTAATATAAAGAAACATGTAAAGATTGGCTTCAAATTCATTTTTAACAATATAAAATAGATGAGCTTTATTGTATAAGGAAAACAGGTATCACCCAAAAGTTATTTATTTATCTAAATTAAAATGTTTAAAATGTATATAACTGGTACAATAACACGCTTTTCCACTAAAGATACCTGATATAATATTCAATGACAGGATAAAACAAATGTCTACTTCACTTCTGTCTCATTTCAAGTCACCGTATAGAACGATACATCATAAAATCGATGGTTGTGCATCTAGGGAATTTCCCAATGGAGCTCTCTTCCACCGGTGTGTATATTTTAATCTGTCTCATGTGGGTATCTCTTCCATTTTGGTGATTGGCTAGAACAGCAATCTGTATCATGAATGTGCGGGTTGGCTTCTTATGATTGTCAGTTAAAGGAACATGAATCCAGCCACTTGGTTCCACCAATTCCAGTTGCTGACAAGAAAAAAAAAAATCCAATTATGTTTTCACTCAATGAATAAGTTTATAATGAATGAATTCTAAAATTATCCTTAAAATTCTGCTCACTGAGAGAATAACAATACGATACCATGGATTCCCTTGTTCTCCCCCCCTCCCGCCCCCTTCACCCTCCCCCCATCCCCACCTCCTCCAGGGCAAAGCCTTCCTCTCGGACTGAGATCAACCTGGTAGACTCAGTCCAGGTAGGTCCAATCCCCTCCTCCCAGGCTGAGCCACGAGATCCTGCATAGGCCCCAGGTTTCAAACAGCCGACTCATGCAATGAGCACAGGACCCGGTCCCACTGCCTGGATGCCTCCCAAACAGATCAAGCCAATCAACTGTCTCACTCATTCAGAGGGCCTGATCCAGTTGGTGACCCCTCAGCCATTGGTTCATAGTTCATGTGTTTCCACTTGCCTGGCCATCCGTCCCTGTGCTTTATCCAACCTTGGTCTCAACAATTCTCGCTCATATAAACCCTCCTCATTCTCGCTAATTGGACTCCCAGAGATCCACCCAGGGCCTAGCCGTGGATCTCTGCATCCAGATCCCTCAGTAGTTGGATGGGGTTTCTAGCACGACAATTAGGGTGTTTGGCCATCCCATCACTAGAGTAGGTCAGTTCGGGCTGTATCTCAACCATTGCCAGCAGACTGTTGTAGGGGAAAAAAGAAAGCATCTTCAACAAATGGTGCTGGCATAACTGGATATCAACATGTAGAAGGCTGCAAATAGATCCATATCTATCACCGTGCACAAAACTTAAGTCCAAGTGGATCAAGGACCTCAACATAAATCCAGCTACTCTGAACCTGCTAGAAGAGAAAGTAGGAAGTAGTCTTGAACGCATTGGCATAGGAGACCACTTCCTAAATAGAACACCAGTAGCACAGACACTGAGAGAAACAATCAATCAATGGGACCTCTTGAAACTGAGAAGCTTTTGTAGAGCAAAGGACAACAAGGCAAAGCAACAGCCTACAGAATGGGAAAAGATCTTCACCAACCCCACATCTGACAGAGGACTGATATCCAGAATATATAAGGAACTTAAGAAATTAGATATCAAAATGCCCAACAGTCCAATTAAGAAATGGGCTATAGAACTAAACAGAGAATTCTCAACAGAGGAAACTCAAATGGCTGAAAGACATTTAAGGAATTGCTCAACATCCCTAATCATCAGGGAAATGCAAATCAAAACAACTCGAAGAACTGTTTCTTTTTAAAAATGACCCAGACTTTTCTTTCTGCATTGCCATGCTCCCTGACCACCACGTCACAGACATGTTCAGTGAGGTCCAATAGCCTTTAGAAGCTACCAGGTTTCCCACTGGCCATGTCTGTATCTGTATCACAGGTCTTTGCTGAAAGGGCAGTGAAAACGCTGTGGGCTTTTGATGCTTCAGTGTGGAAAGCTATCATTGTTGTCCAGGAAGGACTGAAGGAGGAACATCACACAGGTAACCAGCAGTGTCCACCTCTCAGACTTGTCCATGACCTTTGACCTACTCTTGCTACAGCCACTACTGTCCTCCTCCTCAGCACTGCTTGCAGTCAGTCCCCTGGGGGAAAGGTACCCTGGCAGTGTGGTTCAGTAACTGAACCACAGCATCCACAACAGTGATGAAAGAAACTTACACTGAGCTAGAGGCAGATTCTGAAAGCTGCAAAGACCAAGAATGGGCAAGGACACACTAACTACACATCACTGAAAATGAGTAAAGCCCAGGGCTGAGAGATGGTTCAGTGGTGGACAGCAGTGGCTACTACTCCAGGGAACCCGGGTTCAATCACCAGCACACACATGGGGGCTCACCGGCTTTGTTAACTCCAGTTCCAGGGGATTTAACACCCTCTTGTGGACTACACAAGCACTGCATCCAAGTGGTGCACAGGCATACACGGGCAAAACACCCAAACACACAAAATAAGAGCAAAGTTTTACAATGTGTCCAGGGGCTCAGACACCTTTCGGTGAATTACTTTCATGTTGTAAAAATAAGAGCTCAGCAAATATACACACTTTTCCTCTTGCTCTCAGATTCAACTGAATTGACAAGTGAGGCACTGGAGAAAACAATTAAATCCATAAAAGCCAGGAGAAGAACAAATAGATAAAAACTGATAGGTGGTATTCTCAGAGAAGTCCGTTAAGCAACTAACTTCCAGTTGAGTTCCATCCACTTGTTCACTGAATGACGTGCGGAGAGATAGGGTTGAAAGAAGAGGAAAGAGGGCTAGAGACCAACTAGAAGCAAGGTAACTAAACTTCGGTATCTCTGCACCTGGAGTGAGGCAGTTCTGAGGGATCAAGAGCAAACTGGAACAAAATACAGCAGTAAGTAAACAAGAACACTGGCTAGGAGTCTGCATGCAGAAGTGTTCCAGACTCTCACAGGCTTCTGGCTGACCAAGTCCCTTCCCCACTCTCGCAGAGCTAAGGTTTTTCTATGTGGACAACTTGAGAAGGTAGACTTCTGGAGTCAGGCAGCATCCTATGAGCCAGCAGTAAGTCCCTCGGCTCCTTCATCTTGCTCAGCCACAAGAACACTGACTTCTAGATAGGTCACTTGTATCTCCCTACAGACTCTTCCACCCAGCCTGCCAGGTAGCCAGGGCAGATAAGGAATCATTTCTGGGCAAAATGGGAAGTCCACAAGAAAAGACCTACAGATAGTGACATGTAAATATCCCCAATTTAACAGATCTTTATTGAATGACTGATCACTTCGTGTTGGGCACTATTCTAATTGGTTGAACTATACTGATAACAATAAAGACAAATGCAAGCAGTTTGTATTCTAGTGGGGGATGATAAAAACCCCATATATGTGATAATCAAGCATATCAAATAATAAAAGTAGTAAGGGAGAAAGAGAGGAGAAAATCCAAAGCAAAGGAGGCACGACACAGATGCAGTTTTAAATAAGGAGAACATTCTAGACCTCCTAAAGGGAGAGTGAGCAAAGACTTGACGCACGCACATGTCAGTTTCAGCTTGGTCACACAATCTCAAGGGCCACCTCTAACATGAGCACAAATTACATCAAACTGAACTTTTAAATATGAGAAAACAACCAAGGATCTACCAGCCTACAAACAAACAAAATAAAACAAAACAGGAAGTGAAATCAGAAAACAAGTAAAACAAAAAGAGAATTCCAGGGAGAGGCACCAAGTGGAACACAAGAAATTTCAGAACCAGCAACACGCAACTATCTCCAGTGACACAATGTATTCATGAAACAGGAACAGAATGCTGGTCTCTTACAAACCAAAGAACAGAAAGAAACCCTAGAAATGTACAAATATGCACTAAGATCAAATGTTCTTTAAGAAGTAGAAATTAAATGAACTGCTTAGGAAATAAGAAAATGGGACTCAATGCACAAAGTATTATAGTTAAAAATGTCAGTCTGACTTCTTGAAATAGAACAGAGAAAACAAAAAGTATCAAGGCACACATGAGCATGACACAGGATTACAAGACAGATGTCCCCAAATTGATAAGGATCCAACACAATGACAAGGCACAGCACCACGGAAGCTCAAAGCATCGAGGATTAAGAAATTATAAAAGCTTCTAGAGAGAAAACAGGTCACATGCAAAGTATCAGAAGTCAAAAGTGGCATTATATTTCTCAACATTAACACTGAAAACTATGAGGTGATGGAGAATGTGTTTAAATAACGAAGGAAAATAATTTCCAAGCTAGAACTCCATACCCAGCCAAATCATCCCTCAGGGGTGAGATTAAGAAAAGTTTTCAGTCATGCAGGGTTTCAATAATTTACCTCCCATGTGGAGGATGAATTCCACCCAAAAAGGAAGCAAAACAAGAAAGATGAGGATCTGGGATCCAGAAATAAGGGATCTGCAAAGAGAAGAGGTGACAAAAATCCCTAGGATGATGTTGGAGGGAAAATAACTAAGAAGATAGCTATGCGTGCCTGAAAAGCAGTCACAAAATTGGGATTTAAACACAAGAAAAGGAGAAGGAGAAGGACCTATGAGAGAAAATGAGAAGAGAGCCTAGGGAGGCAGAAAGAGCTGCCAGAGGATGATGCAGGTCTGGCCCTAGGGGAAGGCAAGCTGGACAAGAGACAAGCCACCTCTAGCATCCCTGTGATGCTCAGTCATTGGCTAGGAGCCAAACAGGAGAGAGACCCTCAGAAGAAACATGGCAACTGATTCTAGACAGCAGTGCTGGGGCTATGGATCAGTTACTCCCTGTGGTCTGATCTGAGAGAAATGTTCTCATGGCCACCTGTAGTGGCCTTGTAAGGTGTTAATGTGGGTAATCCACAGTTCATTTTCAGGATTTCCTCTCCACATCTTTTTTACTAAGTGGTATACAAGGGATATTTTCAAGCAAAAAGTAGGAGTGAGCCAGAGGTGGTGGTCTGTACCCATGGTCCCATCTACTAAGCACACTGGGGTGTGACAAACACTAGACAGGCTTAGGAGTTCTGGACCAGCTAGGGCCAGAAAGGAAGACTTCATTTTATACAAGCAAGCAAGGAGACAAATAACTGTAGCAAGGGGCCAGAGTGCAGCACAGCCGCGGCGGAACATGCTGGCGACCCTGTGGATCTTCCTTCAACTGGGGGGAAGTGAAGAGTAGTCGTGAGGCTGTAGTCACTTTTTTTTTTACTACCCAAGCCCAGTGAGATCTGTTTCATCTGGGCAGCACCCCTGCCTGCAGTCACCTTTTCTCCAACAGCTTCTTCAAATCCTGGATTCACAAGTGCCTGTCTGAACTTAGCATCTGAAAGGAAGGGCACCAGCTGCCTCTGTAGGATGCTCACACCACAAGAGGGGAGGCTGTGAGAGCTAGCACTGAGTCTGGTTCACTCCCATAAGTTCCATGTACTGTTCCTGGGTGGCAGACTCTGCAGACTCGTGCCTTACACCAATCTTCACTTTTAAACTTCTGAACTTCTGCTCTGGGTCCTTCCACAGCATCT